CCCCTTTTTTTTTTTCTTTGCGGACGCAATGGGCAGCAGGCATGAATCTTTTTATAGAAGTCTCCCTGAAGGCTGCCCTCAGGACCCTAATTCCCAGCTCCTTTTGAGGAGTCGGTCTGTCCCGAGGTAAAGAGGAGACTGTCGTTGGCATCCGAGGGGTTGAGACATCGCGCATCTCAAGGGCAGACAAGGACATTCTGCACAAATGCAGGGGCCTACCTCTCCTTGCGGGAAAAAAAAAAGAAAAAGACAGTTTGACCCCAAAAGCATCCCCAGACATGCTCCCTGCGCAGAACGGGCACCTCGCGTAGCATTTTGCAGGGGGTTACCTGGGGTACCGCCACATGGGCTTGGCTGCCTTCCCGAAAAGATACCTTAGGAAATTTTTCAGCAGTGCTTAGAGGTGGGGGGAGTTAAGCGTAGATCAGGACACCTGCGTGAGGGTGATGATCATGAATTAACAGGGCCACAACCTTTCCCTTTCCTTCCTGCAGCACAATTCTCCCGTCGGGGGCGGCTTTACTCAGTGCCCGAGGAAGGAGAAAAAGACCGGGCGAGAAACAAAGTTTGGGCGAGAAGCCAGCCGAGGAGCAGAACCTATTCGCCTTTGGGGAAGTGTTTTTTCAGGGGGAAATCGGCCTCAGCAGGTGGGAGAAAAGGCGCCACCCAACCTTCCCACGTCGGGACTCCGCGGGACTCGAGGGCCGGAGGAACCCGCGGAGGGGAAAGGGCGAGCACTGAAAACCGGGGGCGCGGAGACATTCATCCCCCTCTGGACAGGTTCTGCTTTCCTAGGCGTTTAATCTCTTCGATGGGCTGAAAAGAATTTCTCAGCTTTCAGAATTTCCGTGAGGAAAATTTTCCTGCCGTCTTGACCCCCTCAGCCCTCCCAGCCCCCCTCCGAGACTGCGTCCACCCTCTGCATCCCACCCAGTCCTCATCACTGCTCGGGAACCGTGGCAGAAAGACACCCTGCGACCCTGAGGTGCCCACCCTCCATCCGAGCTCTCTAAACCCAGGGTTTAGCAAAGCCGACCCCCCCCCGGGGCGCCGAGGGTGGTCACGGCTGCCCGTCCCGTTCCTTCCCCCGCGGTGCCGAGCTGGTGGGGCACAGGAGGAGGAGGAGGAGGAAGAGTTGTCCCCCGATGTGTGGGAAAGCAGGGGCTCGGAGGGATGAAGGACACCCGGCCGCCCCGCAGATGGGGCGGGAGCGGCAACAGCCCCGTCGGAGCTGCGCGGACACCGCGGCGATTAAACCTGCACAAAGACACGCTCCGCGTATAATAATAGCGCCGGTTGTGTAAGTGTCAGCCCCCGAGTACTTCCACCCAGTGTTTGTGTGGGTAGACTTTGCTTTTCCTACGCCAGATGACAATGTTAAAGATTTTTATCCCCTCCCAGCTCCGCACAGCTCCAGCTGAACTTCCCGGAGCATCAAAATAAACCCCCTACAGCGGTCAGGATACAGGTCACCTCTCTAAAAGGAAACACAACCCTTCCAAAAATATAAAACATCTTTGACGTAAAAAAAAAAAAAAAAAAAAAGCACCACAAAAAAAAATGCTCTTTTGTCTCCGAGCATCCTCTGTCGGTGTAAATAAAACGTGACAGGCGCGAGGTAAAATAAGAAGCGGGATGTTTCGAGATGAGAGCAGAGGTGAGGTCCCCGCCGCGGTGCGGCAGCCGGGCGGCGGAGCGGGCACTGCCGGTCACGTCGGGGGGGAGCTGCCGGTGAGGGGGAGGCAGGCGACAGGCTCGGGCAGACCTCCGAGGGGACGCTGCCGAAAAGAAGGGTGACCGATCCGGCCCCCCTCCCTCTCTCCTTCCCTTCCTCCCCCGCAAATCCCGCTCGGGTCTCAGCGGTGAAGGTCGCGCAAGAGGCAGCGGCGACAGCGCGGAAATATCAGCGGCAGCCCTTGTGATAGGGTCTCAGGGTGTCCCTGCGAGACCGTAGGGAAAGGCACCCCCCAAATCCCGCTGGGCGCACCCCGCGGACAGCCGCCAGCCAGGGCAGGCACGGCTTGGCCCGAGATCTGAACACACGGTACCTTTTTTTTGACTGGCTTCTCCCCCGCCCGAGTTTACATTCCGATCAAATGAGATTTCTGACTTTTTACACATTGTCAATAATTTTCATACGTGCTCCAGCCTTAATTACTTTCCATACCATTTGCAGCAGACAAATAGTTTCAGCAGGGCGAGGGAGAGCCAGCGCTGCCCCCCGGGCTCTGGCGAAGGGCTGCGCTTTTCTCCCTGCTCCCCCGCCGCCCCCCGGA